ACCTGAAAGACTTATTTTTCTCTATATTTAACTTTGAAACCTTTCACAAATGAATTTTGAAAATTGGTCACAATTGGTGTATTTCATAAACATTTAATTTGATGGCAATTAAGATACTAAATTGAAAATTCAAAAATCTTAATCAGTGGCGTCACATACTGGGGAGGGTGAGGGTTAAAACATCCCTATTTTTGAAGTGAATACTTCTTTGGTTGCATGAGAGTGATTTTTTAAGGTCGCGTCACGACACGATTTACAAAATTTTCGTCTCGCAAGTGAGATGAAGCATATGATGAATATGAGGGAGAGAGAGAGAAAGAGATGGTGAATGAAAGACAGTATTGTTCTTAACGTATTAATGTAATATGTACAATACATCTCTCTCTCTCTCTCACTCACTCACTCACCCTCAACGAACCGATAAATAAGTATTCACTTTTATCACTTGTACTGTGCTGCACGCGACTTTTTTTTTTACTCGTCAGGTTTTTGCGAAACATACGCAAATCAGAAAATTTTCAAAGTCAATTTTCTCGTAAACGATACGCTGTATCGAATTGAACCGAGAGTACCTTTTTTGTGTAAAAAACTCCAAAACTTTCCGAATTTTCAATCGGAATCGCAAAAACCTGACGGGTAAAAAAAATAGGGATGATTTTAACCCTCACCATCCCCAGTATGTGACGCCACTGATTAAGATTTTTGAATTTCCAATTTAGTATCTTAATTGCCATCAAATGTTTATAAAATACACCAATTTTCAAAATCCATTTGTAAAGGGTTTAAAAGTTATAGAGAAAAATACGTCTTTCAGGTGTCCTATTCGAAAAGGCGTAGCTCCCTTTGGAAGCATTCCTGGACCCATGTTAATAGGAACTTTTTGTCTTATTTTTATGCAAGGAATACGCCACCGAAAGGAACATGCTCGTTTATTAATGGCTATCATTACATGATCATTGCATAATATACTATTTTTCTTCTGCAATTTTATAATACGCTTATTGAACGATTGAAATCTGTTTCATAATGAACTTCATTATGATACAGATTTTCATTGATACAGATTTTTCAGCCACTGGAATCGAGCTGTTTTGAACATGAACAATGTTTATATAAAACTAACAGACTTGTTCTGTATTGTTTCTATTAGCATTTACCAAAAGAAACAACAAAAAATTGATAAATCGGGTGCGGAATTTATGCCCAAATGACATCTAGATCATAATTTTCGAAATTGTTAATAGATGACACCACCAGTTGAGAAGTTTACTATTCTTAAAATAAATATGTATTTCGTTTATTAATGGAAGTAGAAAAAATTGTGCATGCAACTCTCATGTAATGGCCAATAATACATGATTATTGCATAACATACCATAATATATAGAAAAGCCACAATAATAGAGATCATGCTGACCCCAATTTCGCACCTGTCGCTATAAATTTTTCACCTCACGGCTTGGCGGAAGTCCAGATTAACTAGTAGGATCGAAATAAGTTTTGAACATTAATTTATTCAGGCTTTGTTATCAGTTATTGTAATTGTTTGAAGGTCAGCAATAAACTCCTTCGAAAGCCGTCTGAATTCCCTGAGGATCGATCGTTTTATTTTATTATGAGTTTTTGGCTGAGCACTCAGTTTCCTGTTCAAGGCTTCCTTTGAGAGACCAATCATTCAAATGTATGCAATATACCTAAGTGTTTGTCTTTATCTTCGAATACCGCCCGAAACAAATTGGTTATAGCAAATAGATTGAGTAGGGAGACTCTCTCAAATATTTATTTTAAATTAAGTTTGAAAGCCTTGTGTTTTTTATACCCCTTAATATTTTCACTTTGTTCACATCTATATTTGATTACCTTTCCTTTTCAATTGAAGTTGTTTTCAGTGCCTAAAAATAGTTTTTAGGTACCGCGGAACTGGTGACAATTTGGTGTCAGAAGTGGGATACTTAATAAGACATTTGGTGTATTAATTTGACCTAAATAATAGAACAGTTGGCGAGATAGGTAACACGTAGAATTATTTGAGCTAATGTGAAGGATAATTAGCGTCATAATTAGTAGATTCATTTGAGCTAATTAGTGGAAACGATAAGGCATAAGTCAACTTTCGACTAATGTCGACAGAGTGATTTCTCCAGAATACTCCATCGTGTTCTATTTGAAAATCAGACAAGGTACGAGAATTTTCACTTTGCCGATCTTTATATTTTAATTCAATTATCAAGAAATATACAGTGTGAAAAACCTTCACATCAATAATTTGGTATGATACGTATTTGTCGACGTCCTGTATTGTAACATTGCGAATGTTACTTGTTCTTTTTTCTTTCAAATATAATTTTATATTACCTTTAACCCGGGAGTACACGCGTGCCGGTCAAAAGGACCGACCATTGATAAAATCAGTAATTACGCCACTGGTACAAGAGTGACAGTTTTGTCCATCCAGGAATGCCTGATGCAGGTTTTCCACTACCCATTTGCCAAAAGATATTTTGGTTTTTGGTTGAAGAAGGGTTCGTTGTTTTCATAGTCGGTGCTTTTGACTAGGTGCGTGAACCTGAGTATCTGAAATATTTGTGTTCAAAATTAGCATTTTCTGATATTGGTAGTACTTTTGGCTGTCGATAATACGGTAAATGTACTGCATAATGTAATTCCCTATATAATAACTATGAATTCTAGGAATTATACTGCTTGTACACTTTGTTCGCGGAGACGGTGCCAAACGCTAAGGCATGACCTAACCTTCCATTAGGCGCGCGAGTTTTTATAACATCATTAGTCGCGCTGTATCACAGAGATACATGTACTAAATCATTGATAAAAAAATTGAGCCATCTGATGAATTTCGGTTTTACAATTTCTATGTATTTATTTGTGTACTCAACAATCACTTTTTTCTGAAAAAGAGATTCCAGAAGTTGGATTCTGTTTTCGCAGTCGTTGCAGCTTGGCCAACAATGCCCGGTAGCGTTACCATAATATTATGTGGTCTCTCCCGAGTCAGCTTGGAAGGAATTTTGTCTCATCGAGTTCCATCTCCACCTGAGGTAATCAGCCTCTTGAACCATAATATTTATATAAAAAAATACCAAGAAAACAGTTACAATTGAAGAGCACCCATGGTAACAAGAAAAGTCGCGTTGTATTAGTCAGGTACAAAGCCGAGCGCACCCTTAGTTTTTTAGAAATTCCAAATTTCCAAATAGAGGTACGACCATGTAATTTTGGGAAAGTAATTAGTATAGGGCACCTAAGGACTACTATAATACTATAGGTTTTTTCCTTTTAGATACACGCGCGACTAATGGAGGGTTAAGTATATAATATAAGTAATATTTGAAAGTTTCATGTCTCTATTGATTAGTAAACTTGCGTAGGTCATGCCTTTAGCGTTCAGGATACGTTCAGGGATCGTTTCCGCGAAAAAAGTTAATAAAGTCTGTTTTTTTTTTAAAGATAATTCCCCAAGTCAAAAATTTAGTAACTCTGTTGGCAACACAAGCCTTTTCTTTTTTTTTGAAAGCATTGACAATTTTACATTGTATTGCCAACATAATGTCATTTTGACTTTTATCTTAAAAAGAAAAACAGATTTTAATTCATATAAACTTTTGGGCAGTCGGACGATTTGACCAAACGCATGTAACGACGTAAGTTTTTTGGCGTGTGTAATGCCGGGTTAATTATGACAGTCTGGTGACTAGCATCAAAACAAAAAAAGATTTCTGCTGCTAATAATATTAGCAATTATTAAACTAGAGGGCGAGATTTTCGTTTAAATTTGACGTACCAGTTTAGTACCAACTCTTTCCGTTGGCGATCTTTGAGAGGAAGCTCTTTCTGTTCATCTTGTCCATTTCGTTTCTCGCCCCTTGTTAAATTTTGGCGTTCGAGCTGAAAAGTCGATCCTGTGCTGAAAACCGCCAAGTTCCTAAGGCAACCGTGCTCGTGGAAAATAAAGTACCTTATCGGCCATCGGCCATTATCTTGAAGAAATAAAGTTACGTAGGGCAATAATCCGTTGATTACCAAAAAAATTTAAATCAAAAGTCTTGTGATTACTATTTTATTCAAGTTAGAATTTCGAACCCCTCGTTGGAAGTCCTTTTTAATTTTTTTTTAAGTAATGGTTGCTCATGGAATGCCTCTATTACTTAGGGTTTTTCGAAGAGCCATTTCTCTCAACGAATTCATTTCCAAAAGGCAACATTTTTTAAAGAACATCGTTTTCTTGGAGCGTGGCATAGAGTTCCAAGGATTCCTGAAGGAATCAAGTCGTTCCCGAGGCGATACATGTACTCCCACATTTGACGAAGAAAACTGTACTTCTAGCCTTGATTATAAGCTAGAATCTGCAACTGCCATTTGCAACTTCCCTCGTCAAGTGGCCGAGAAGGGATGGCTACCGTACTCAACCTTTTTGTTGGAATGGAGGCTTGTATAGAGTTCATGATCAATTAACAATTTTAATGTTTTTCTTTTTTTTTTTTCTAATATAACATTTAAATATTTGAAATTTCAATTTCATATTCTTGACACCTTAATGAACTTTAAATAACTATTTCCGATTTTTGATTTACCGTATTTACTATAGATTTTTTTATATATCGACTTACGTATTAGGAATTATTATCCAATGCTTGAATGTTCATTGTCCAATACACTAAATTAGTCACAGTATAGTCTATAGCCGCACTGTTACGATTAAGTATTTGCCCCAAAGGCCGAAGTATGGCACAACCGAAGAACGGAACCGGTACACGCGAAAATCACCGTGCGAACTGTCGTTTTCGTAAGCCCGGCCGAATTAGTACTGACTCCCTTTTTCTCTTGTTCGTGCGCATACACTATTTACTTATTTACAAGTATTATAAAAACTATAATACACAATACTCCTTCACCCCAGTTAGAAAGAATTAAGAATATTCCATATGAACTAAACTACGCTACTATGTACATGATGAGTAAATTATTATTTTTTTTTTTTTTTACTCTTCTTCTTCTTCCTCCTCTTCCTCTGGCTGATAACCTAGCCTTTGAGGAGGTCCACAATTCCTTTTAGGTTTACGAAGAGCAATTGGCAAGGACCGTCTGTTATTTCTTACAGGAGAACCCGTTTTGGAACCTCTCACTGGCAGTTCCAATTCTATTTCCTCCTCACTACCATTATTCGATCCCTTGTAGTATTTTATCTGATTTGAATGTCTTTTGACTTCTTTGTCATTAACTTCAATTTTCCATACGTTGGTTGCTATTTGTTCTAAAATAGCTCCCTTTTCCCAAGAATATGTGTTTAGGTTTTTGAACATTTTCACCCAAACCGTTTCTCCAATTTTAAATCTACTAGCGGGAAATTCCGTTTTTTTATTAATGGCTGGTTTAACCAGATCCAACGTAGTTCGTATTTGCCTTCCAAGAAACAATTCACTGGGTGAAGCTTTGGTTGCTGCGTGAGTGGTACTTCTGTATTTGAACAAATAGTTTTTGACATGATCCACAACTTTATCTCCAGATGCGGTTAAGCAAATTGTCTTGACTGCAGACTTAAAAGATTGAACGTAACGTTCAGCTTGTCCATTTGATGACGGGTGATAAATTGGAGTAGTTATGTGATTAATACCATAATTTTTGCAGAATTCTTGGAAAATACTTGACGTAAAGGCAGTTGCGTTGTCAGAAACAATCTCTTGAACTAACCCATAGTTTACAAAAAGGTCTTTCAATACTCTAATTGTAGTCTCAGAGTTTGTAGACTTCGTTGGTATAATTTCTAACCATTTTGAAAATGTATCCACGACAATTAAAAACATTGAATTTTTGAAAGGTCCAGCATAATCTATGTGTATTCTATACCATGGCTGTGGAACTTTAGGCCAACTCTGTATAGGTACCCTAGGAGGATCCCGGTTTATAGACGTACAAGCTATACAATTATAGGATAATCTTTCAATATCAGAATCCAAATAAGGCCACCACAAATATCGTCGAGCCTCAGCCTTCATTCGTACGATCCCTGCATGGGTTGAATGAAGATCCTGTAAAACCCTTGATTGAAGACTTCTTGGAACAATCGTCCTAATTCTTCACAAAACACAGTCGTTCTCCACGGACAATTCATGTCGTCTTACGAAGTACGGTTTAATATCATTATTTGGACATATTTTTGGCCAGCCTTGTAATATATATTCTTTAACTTTGTTTAAAGTAGAATCCATGACCGTTTCTCGAATTATTTATTCACCTTTAACTGGAATATTTTTTTGTGCATTTTCTATAATATTAGATATTACATACTCGAAATTGTATCCAATACTATCAAAATCGTTGTCAGATCCTGTAGGAAGTCTGGAGAGACCATCTGCTTGTCCGAACTTTGAAGTAGGAACATAATCCATATCAAATGAATACCCCATTAGGAGGATAGCCCAACGCTGAAGTCTATTAGCAGTGGAAGTAGGTATTCCTTTCTTTGAGCCAAAAATTGTAACTAACGGTCTATGATCAGTTAAAAGTTTGAAATTTCTACCCCATACATATTGGTGAAATTTTTTTATTCCAAACATAATAGCTAAACCTTCACGCTCTATTTGTGAATAACGTTGCTCTTCTGGCTTTAACGTTTTTGAAGCATGAGCAATTGGCTTTTCAGATCCATCAGGATATCGGTGATAAATCACTGCACCAACCCCTACTGAAGAAGCATCAGCTGCTAAAATAAGCGGCAAATTTGGGTCATAGTGGGCCAAAAATTTTGGAGAAGAAAATTCCTCCCTAATTCATAAAAATGCTTGATCGCATTCTTCGGACCAATTCCAAGTAGCATTTTTCCTGCGAAGTTTATTTAGAGGGTAGCATAAATCAGCTAACTTAGGTATGAATTTGGAGTAATAATTAATCATGCCCAAATAGGATTGCAATTTATCCAAATCCAAAGGTCGCGGCATGTTTAAAATGGCTTCTATTTTCTTTGGAGACTTGTGTAACCCCTTTGAAGAAATAATGAATCCCAGATATTCCACACTTGACTGCATGAATTTGCATTTCTCTTTTCTAACACGTAGTCCATAATCTTTTATTCTTTGAAATACTTTTTCCAGATTGTCCAAGTGTGATTTTTCATCTTCCCCTGTAATTATTATGTCATCTAAGTAAGATGAAACTCCTGAAAGTCCCGCCAACATCTGATTCATCAAATTTTGGTAAATACTTGGAGCCGACGAAATTCCAAATGGCAATCTTTGGAAACTGAAAAGTCCTTTATGGGTATTAATTATGCACAACTCCTTACTAGAAGAATCCAGTTCAATTTGAAGATAGGCTTCGGAAAAGTCTATAACAGTGAATGTTTTTCCTCCATTTAATGTAGCAAAAATTTCTTCAGAACGTGGCAAAGGGTATTGGTGAATTCTTAAAGCACTATTGAGTCCAGTTTTAAAATCAGCACAAAGGCGAATAGCCCCTTCCTTTTTTTTACTGGAACTATGGGAGCAGCCCATTCTGAATAGCAAACGGGTTTTAAAACTTGTTTTTGAATGAAAGAATTAATTTCTTCTTCTATTTTATCCTTAATAGAAAAAGGTAGTGGTCGTGCCCTGCAAAACACAGGCTTAGCACCCTCTCTAAGCTCCAAATGTGCCTTGAATTTAGTACAATGTCCTAGTTTACCATCAAAAACCTCAGGATAACCAGATAAGATTTTATCAATTTTTGTAGTAGTGGAAGTAGTATTATCTTTTACTGAAGAAGTAGTGACTGAAAAAATTTGTGAATTTCCTAAATCATCAATGGAATAAGAAGTGAGATTCAATTCCGAAATCCAATCTCGTCCCAAGAGATTGATCCCAGTTCCATGACAAAAATATAATTTCAATATAATTTCTTGATTTTGAATCTTTACATTTACAAAGGTCTCACCCATAAGATCAATGGTATGCCCGGAAAAACTAGATAAGGTAGCAGAAGGAGGCACTAAATCAGGTTTTCCTACCAATTCCCAAACTTCTTCATTGGCAATGGTTGCACAACTCCCTGTATCAAACTCGAATTCTATGAGTTTATTATTTATGTAAACTGGCATTTTTAACGCTGGAGCATGAATTTTATTTAATGCATGTATTTTATTAATCTCCAAAATATCAAAATCATCTACTAAATTCTCTTCGGGCTTCCCAGTAGACTCAAAAACGTTATGTGTTTTCCTTGGCCGGAAGCCTTGAGCTTGAGGCTTAACTCTGTTATTTTGTTCGTAAGAGCGGGATGGATACGTTGACTTTCGACAGACCTTAGCAATATGTCCTTTGGTAGAACATTTATTACAAATGGCATCCTTGAAACGGCAATTGGAACGTAAATGCATCCCTCCACAAGAATGGCAAGAAGAATTGGTATTATTTGGATTTTTATTCCTTGGAGGGAACGGCATGCGATTTATTTTATTTGTTTCCAATGTTAGGTGATTATTATTGTCATTATTGCATAATAATCCTTCAATTGTACGAGCTGCCTCCAGCGCTTCTGAAAACCGTTTTAAATCTTTTTGAAGGAGTTGCTTTCTAATTGAATCGCTGTGAATACCCGTCAAAAATGCTGTTATCAAAGCATCTTCATAGAAATTACTAGGGAAATCACATTTTTTTGTAACATCCTTCAAACTATTTGCAAAATCGTTTAATGACTGTCCCTTTGCTTGTCTGTTTGAAAAGAATTTAAATCTTTCTGTAGAAATAAAAGTCACCCGACCATAGTTTGCATCTAATTTATCAATAAGTTGCTGAAATGTATACTCTTTTGGGGATTTTGGCAAACATAATGATACTAAAGTATGAAATGGTCTTGTTCCCAATGAATCAATCAATAAAGCACGTCTCAAATCTTCATTAGTAATTGAGCTCAAAACCAAAAAATTTTCAAATTTAATGAACCATGTAGAAAATTCAAATACTTCTGGATCAAATTCTGGAGGTCTGACTTGAAAAATATGCGAATTAACTGTAGAAACAGAAGCTTCGGCGGACTCTTTCGGCATTGTCTTTTTTTCTTTATGTTGAAATAAATAAAGAAATATAAATTTATTTTATTGGAGTCTCTATTACCACTAACGTAAATAATCGCAGAAACAAGTTTTGGAATGTCGGAATGTTTATTTTTTCCCTTTTTTTGTATGAATATTTTTAAAGCAAATAAATTTTTGAATAAATTTAATGTCAAGTCTAACGAAATTTGAACTGGAGGTGAGAGAATGGAGTAGAAGGAGCAGTATTTTACGAAGAACGAAGTATAGTTTTCTCACTCTAACGCACATAGGTTTGAATATCCTCGTCGCCACTTTTATATATCGACTTAGGTACTAGGAATTATTATCCAATGCTTGAATGTTCATTGTCCAATACACTAAATTAGTCACAGTATAGTCTATAGCCGCACTGTTACGATTAAGTATTTGCCCCAAAGGCCGAAGTATGGCACAACCGAAGAACGGAACCGGTACACGCGAAAATCACCGTGCGAACTGTCGTTTTCGTAGCCCGGCCGAATTAGTACTGACTCCCTTTTTCTCTTGTTCGTGCGCATACACTATTTACTTATTTACAAGTATTATAAAAACTATAATACACAATAGATTTTATATCTTCTTAACTTTTAGTACCGCCATATTTGAAGAATATACTTATATTTTATCAATGATAATCAATCAGTTATCTGAACAGAAGTCAAGATTGGACAACATGTTCTAAATCTAAAATAATTGAGTAAGTACCTACATCGTCAAAAATTGATCAATTTTCAACCCTGGGTTCTATAACTTATATATTTGAGGATATCTATTATACAGGGTGTCCCACGGTGGATGGCGTATTAGACGTTTATGGAGAACTAAAAAGCGGATCATTTTGAAACTTCGGCAACCGGGATAAATGATCGTGATCTACACTTTAAAAATATTTTTGTTTATGCGGTGTTGCCGCTTCTACTCTAAACCAGTGGCAACATCGCTATTTTAAATGAAACACTCCGTATTTAATTGCATATTTAGATTCTACATAAAATTCTGAACAGATTTTATGTAATATACCCTATACCTAAGTTCAACTGTTTTGGAAATATTGACAGTTGAAAATTGACTTTTTGCAACTTTGACAGGCTGTAAAACCTGAACAGTTAAGTTTAGAGAAAAACCGATTTTACATTCCTATCTTAGATTTTTATAAACTATCATTTGACACCAATTTTCAATTTAATCCATGATTAAAAATTCCAATTAAATTTAATCTCCGCTTAAATTCAAAGTTGGTGTCAAATGATAGTTTACGAAAATCTAAGATAGGAATGTAAGATCGGTTTTCCTCTGAAATTAACCGTTTAGGTTTTACAGCCTGTCAAAGTTGCAAAAAGTCAATTTTCAACTGTCAATATTTCCAAAACAGTTGAACATAGGTATAGGGTATATCACATAAAATCTGCTCAGAATTTTACGTAGAATCCAAATATGCAATTAAATACAGGTGCAAGTTAATTTTATTGAATTTATTCTTTAAGCAGAAGCTGACCATATTTATCAATACACTTTTCAATTATTTATTTTTTTAATTAGCCTTCTGGAAACCTAAATCTTTATATTTTCATTTCATGAAAATGATATGGCCAGCTTAATGAATTTATATGGCAAGTATATTGAGGTACGTTGTAATATAATCTTTTTTCAAAATTTGATGGAAATAATTGAGATTTAACCTCTATTTATTGATTTTATCTAAAGTGTTTTACCAGCAATTGATTTTATACTTTGAAATTATTCAAAACTTGATTATTGACATCACTGTGAAAATATATACCTACTAATTTAATTTGAAACTTACTTGATTGTTTTATAGGTTTTACCTATGTCAAGATTTGGTTGAGTTATATGCCTTATTTATTTCCTTTTCGGAATTAACAATTACCGTTTGCTGATTATTTTTTTTTTAGGTGGGTTTCTGAATTTTCACACTTCAATATTTTATGTAATTTATTTATTTATTTTTCAAATTCAGTGGCGCCCTTGCCATTTTGTACCTATTAAACTGTTGACCCATCTCTACTAATTATTCGCTGAGCAAACTAAGCATATTATGGGCCTCGTGTTGATTCATTAACAAAAGGGGTTAAAGTATACATATTTTGGAATAATACTAATGAGCACACTCAGTCGTCCGGGGAGCATATTTACGTTCTATATCATTATACAGATGAATGCGCGTATGTTTAATCCAAATCATACAGGGATACAGATGTATATCACTCTTTAACATAGTAGGATATGAAGTTACAATAACTATGTCTACTTTGAATCATACCGGGATATAGAATTTTCGCAAGTGTATAATGGGGATGCAGAACGCCGCAACTACATAACATTTCCTAGCAATGTAAACAAAAACTGGCGTTTCAGTCCGCTGTATCCATAGTTTGTATTAATTCTTGTGTTAATATAAACATTCTTGGAATCGCAATCGCAATCTGTTGGAACCAAACCTGAATGCCCTAGAGGATATTATACACAAAGAGAATGTAATTGAAAGTTATAATTACCTACCTATACGTTAAATGGAATGATTACAGTGTTATCATAAGAAGAAAAAATCATCATAAAAGTAAGACGATTGGATTCGCAATTTTGGCATTGGCACCACAAAAAACTGGATTATTAGATATGCTTACCCATCACTGAAAAATGAGTACAAGAAAGTGTTTGAGTGTCATCAAAATTACTTCAACAAAGTCGCAGAATTAGAAAAAAATCCACTCGAAGAAGGACAAAAGGATGTGGAGCCAAAATTATATTTATTTTTGAGAAATTGATCCAAATCAATCCAAATGCTATAAAAAATGACCCGCATTCGAAAGGTAATAGGCCAGTCATTGGGGATTTTCATACCTGGAAATAACTCGAGAAGTTTTAAAATTTTGCAGGTTTGTAAGTTTGGGTGTGTGGAACTATAATTCACAAAATATACAGTCCGAGACTTGCCGCCAGTGCCGCTATCTTGCCAAGATGGCCGCCAAAAACGGGTTTTCGCGATTCTCTCCAAAACTATGGGTTTACGAAGAAATATATAGAGAACAAAATGAAAGAGGAGTTTCCTCCGTTCATACAAAAAATGCGCTCAGCATATTTTCGGGGATAATCCACAAGTACTTAAAAATTACCGATAATTTTTCACGATTGCGTGTTTTCTATAATTTACAAAGAAAACACGCATGAGTGAAAAATTATCTGGTTAATTTCAAAGCTCGAGTGGTACCTATATCGAGGAATATTCATGAATTCAAGAACATAACTTCACCAACCCAACAAAATCAAATAATTTTTGGACGAAAGACACTCTACAAAATCAAATAATGTAGTTATTTTTATTAAATAATTTTTGATTTATTGTCAAACCCAAATTGGTTGTGCCCCGACGAAGTGGTATTATCGTTTTAGTGTTATCGATTTTGTATATCCGCTGTTATTTAGGCAGAAAAGTCTAACATTTTGCGTAAGTTTTGTATAGAGGCGATTTTCCGTAATAAGATGTGAATTGAGGTTCCTCAAAACTACTTTTTGAAGGCTCTATACAATTTTGGTCATGAAACAGTAGCGTATCTTTTATCCAATCGATTTAATAATCAGGTAATTTATCAATTAACTCATGTTATTAATCTATGATCAATAATTAATTTTAAATATTAAAAATGTTGTATAGGGTGTTTCAAATTCGAGCCACATCATTGGGATCTCAGGAACGGTGAGAGATACAGGGTTAGTTGAATTGAGGCAAAGTTGCGAAATTTGATGTGAAAAATACCGCTTTGATATTTAGGATATTCCAAATACTTCCGGAGATATCCGGAAAAAACCGAAATTTTCCAAATTTGATTTATTTTTTCTTGACTTTATTTAAAGTGATACCAAAAAAAAATTTCACTTCATCATAGCCACTTTTTCTCCCCTACAAGATGCTAGCTCCAAAATTAAAATCTGACGTTTCGTCTTTGGGCCACCATCATCAAGTTCATTTTTTTAAATACGGATCCTTATTTTTTATATTAGATTTTATAAGCTTCTGATGTCCCAAAACCAATGACGTATTGCACTTGTTCGAAAAATTTATATTATTGGTACTTTCCATAAAAACTAAATGTGTTACAGAGAGACAGAGAAGAGAATTTTGGTAGGAAATTACTAAAAAGTGAAAAATAGTCGAGATCACCAAAGTATTCCGCGCACGAGTTGCAAACAATATTTTTTCTACAACTCCATTTAAATATCGATCATCCGAAGCTAAAATTGCATTTACAATCAAAGGCAGGTGAATTTTAATTATTTTTGGTTTCCTGTCAGGTGTCAGGTATTTGTTACCTGAGTGTGCGAACTAGGCATTTCGCACACTGGAGAATCATTTCGCACACGGCGTCATGGGAACGTTAAAAAACCATACCTGGGAAAAAAAGTGTCAAATTGTCATCAGTTTACAAACATCATCATTTTTTGACAGTTATAGAAAATAGTTATTTTTGTATCAAGGGCGCGAAATGCTACTTTGGTGATCGAGATCTGATTTTTTTAACGAGGCGCAGCCGAGTTAAAAAAATAGTCGAGATCACCAAAGTATTTCGCGCCCGAGTTGCAAACAATATTTTTTCTACAACTCCATTTAAATATCAATAATTCGAAGCCAAAATTGCATTTTCAATCAAAGGTAGGTGAATTTTAATTATTTTTGATTTCCTGACAGGTATGTGTCACCATGACACCCAGTGTGCGAACTAGCTATTTCGCGTCATGGGAACGTTAAAAAATCAATACCTGGGAAAAAAAGTGTCACTTCGCAAACTGTCATGAGTGTGCGAACATCATCATTTTTTGACAGTTGTAGAAAAAAATATTTTTTCGAATAAATGCCATACGTCATAGGTTTTGGGATATCAGAAGCTCTTAAAATCTGAAATAAAAAATCCAGGATCGTATTTAAAAAAAATAAAGTTGATGATGGTGGCCCAAAGATGAAACGTCA